GGGCGCGGGGACCCAGGCTCTGCTCGCGGCACCCCACCCACGTGCTGGTCTCGGCCAAGTGCCGCGCGGGAGCCCAAAGCCAGCTCCGCCCGGGGGACCCCGCCCGGGGGCGAGGCGGTCGTCAGCCCTGTTTTGTCTTCTAGACCCGAAGGATCGAGGCTCCCGGACGACGAGGAAACACCCAAAATGGCATCGGAGGTGAGTGGGACCTCGGGGACGCCGGTCCTGCAGGACCCCAAGCGAGGGGAGGGGCGCCCTGGGGGCCTTGACCTGCGCCCGGGATCTCCTGGTGCCAGACCCGGCCAGGCCGCCCTCCCAGCAGTGCTCCTTGCTGGCTCCGGCAGGGGCCCCTGCCAGCGCTGAGAGAGACCTTTGCCTCTCCTGCACCCCTCCCCACAGTCTGGGTCTCAGACCCACCGAAGCACTCTGCTCGGAAAGGCGGCCCTGACCCCGCCCCCTGCCGTGGCAGTTGTCCCTGTGTAGCAGAATCCACATGACTCTGGCCTGTGGAAAGAGCCAGAAGGTAGGGGACCTTGCCCTGTGGCCCCAGTGGCCCCAGTGCCCAGAAGCTTTGCCTCTTCCAGAGAGCCAGAGGACTCCTGGGTTCTTTTCCTGACCACTGAGTGGCAGGAGTCTAAGGCACAGGTTCCTTTTCTGGGCCTCAGTTGATTTATCTGGCAGTTGGGGGTAAATGATAGCTGTCTGCCTCCCTCTGTAAGGTACCAGATCATGAAGTCATTGCTTCGAACACTTTATGTAAAAGGGGCTGTTTGTGTGATGTCATTGGGCCTGGGAAGCAGGAGGTCTGGGTCCCAGTCGCTTCTGGCCCTCATTAGCTGGCAAATCACTTCCTCTCTCTGGACCTGTTTGTGAATCTGAATAAATAGGATAAGAATGCTTGCCCTGCCAGCTTCTAGGTCCTGGTGGAGGGCTGGGGGCAGGGCCTGGACTTTGGAGCCAAACAGACATGCTTTCTGAAGCGGCCACTTGACCTCCCTGAACCTCTTTTCTCATTTGTAAAATAGGGGTGACAGTGCCCACTTCGTAGGAGGGTGTAACAGCACATATAGAATGTGTAGACAGGGCCAAGCAGCAGTAGGTGCTCAATAAGTGGTGGCAAATTATACTCACAGTAACAACATCTCATCCCAACCCAGTGCCCTGCCCCTTGCCCTAATGGGATTATTCTGGCCCCCATGTTCACTGGCTTGGAGCAGTGCCCTCTCCCACCACATTGGGCTTCCCCCTCAGTGCCCAGGCTATGGCACCTCATTCTGACATCCTCCTAGGGTCTTTTTTTTTTTTCCTGGGGTCCTTTTAAGCCTGCCAGTGGGGCGGGAGCTTGGCCCCAAAACAGAATAGGCTGCTTTTAGGAGACCAGGGTGCCAGGTGACTTCTGCTTGCCTCAGGCCGTCCTGTGGGTTCGCACTAATTAGTTTGGCTGCAGCCCCACTTGTTAAGTAGTTGTTATTACTAACAACCCAGGCAGGGAGTCCAGGGACCTGCTGGGGGAGGTGGTGCCAGGCTTCTGGCTGAGGGGCAGGCTGGCTCCCCATCCTTACTGGCTGGCCCTGGCCCTCTGGCCCCAGTAGTCAGGACCCGGACCCCATGTGGTGCTTTGCTGGAGATTAAGGCTTGCTGGGACAGCAGAGGGTAAGGGGCAGGCTCAGTTCAAAAGGCTGAAGGGGGAGCGGAGGCCGCTCCTGCAGGGCAGAGTCCTCTGATGGCCAACGCTGCTGGCCACTGAGAGGTCTGCTCACAGCCTGGGGCCAGAGCATGGTGGAGGCCCCATGGTGCACACAGGAACCAAGCTAACACATACCCTGGCCCCAGCAGTCCTCGGCTACTCCCTTAGAATTACTTAGAATTTATTGAGTCCTTATTGAGTGCCAGGCATGTGCTATGTATGCACTCAGCAAATATTATCAAATCAATAGAGGGGCAATCCTGAGGCTTTGAGAGGTTATATAACACTCATGGTCAGGTGGCTAACAGAGGTCCGAGACATTTGCAGAGGGACAGAGGCGAACATGTCCTCCATGGCCGTATAAACCCCACTCCAGAGAAAAGATGCCAGTGAGGTACCATGCACACCTCCACCCTGGCACACTCTCCTAATCCTTGGCACTCTGGGTGCTCAGACTGCTTCACAAATGTTCTGCACCCCTCCCCCATTTGTCCCAGGTCCTGGCCTATGCCCTCTTTCAAAACAGAGATGTCTCTATTCCATCTCTCTGCCCTTGGCTCCTGGGGGCAGAGGGTCAGCTAGTGACCTCCTAGAAGGCCAGTGATAACAGGTGTGTCACAGGTGCTTTCCAAAGAGATGGGACCTTAGCTCCTCCCCCCCAAGCTATGGGAAAGAGATGCAGGGAACTCGAGCCTGATGGTGTCTTTCAGGTGCCTCCTTGCCTGTCCTTGCAGCAAAAGTTCAGAATAGCAGAGCCAGCAGAGATCCTGGCAGAATGTGGGTTCAGAACATGAGCTGTCTTCAGACTGGGTTGCAGCCCTGGCTCTACCACCCCAGCGAGGGCAAAAGATATATACCTGTGCTTTAGTTTCCCTCTCTGTGCCAGGATAGTGTTGGTACCGACTTCTCAGGGTTGCTGTCGTACATACATGCCAAGCATTTAGAGCGGTGCCTGGTATACTGAGAATTTAGTGTGTATTAGCCACTATTATCCTTGTCACTGGTACGTCAGAGCTGGAATCAGACTCCAGATTCCACAGGAGAAATCCGGCAGTGGCAGGAAAGGCCGCAGAAGTTCTGCTGTGGTCTCAGGGATGCCTTGTACCCTACCACCATCTCCCTGGAGCAATGTCACATGGTAGGAAAGAGCCCTAACTTCAGTGTCCAACCACATTCCCACACTCACCTGCTGAGTGACTTTGGGCAAATGCCTGACTCTCTAGCCTCAGTTTTCTTATCTGCCTAGTAAGAATAACCCTGTTGGCTGGCTCCCACTGCCAGCACACTTGGTAGCTGTTCGAGGGGGGAAGGATATTAATTGCTCCTGTTCTCCTGACCAGAGCGGGAAGCTGTGGGGCGGCCGGTTTGTGGGCGCAGTGGACCCCATCATGGAGAAGTTCAACTCGTCCATCAGCTACGACCGGCAACTGTGGGAAGTGGATGTGCAGGGCAGCAAGGCCTATAGCCGGGGCCTGGAGAAGGCAGGGCTCCTCACCAAGGCCGAGATGGACCAGATACACCGTGGCCTGGACAAGGTATTGCATGCCCCGAGGGCGAGGGCCCCTTCCTGCAGCTCCGGGCTCCCACCAAGTCCCCGAGCACAGGTTGCAGTGTCATCCCAAGCCCCTCACAACCCCGTGTGGTGATGATACACCTAGAGAGGTGCCCTTTACCCATGTTCTGAGCTCACCTCTTTCATCCTCTAGTGCTCCCTGGGCCCTGGGGCTCATGGGCAGAGGTGCACTGGTCCTGAGATGCTCCGTTGAGGGGGGTGCTGCACAGGCCCCTCCTGCAGAGCACTCCCAGGACTCAGCTCCAACACAGGGACAGTCAGTACTCAGGGTGGGAGTGGGGACAGGGCTTGGCCCTCTTGCTGCCGTTGCCTGCCAGTCTGACCTCTGGGTGGCTGCCATCTGCTACAGGTGGCTGAGGAGTGGGCCCAGGGCACCTTCAAACTAAATCCCAATGATGAGGACATCCACACAGCCAATGAGCGGCGTCTAAAGGTAAGACCGCCCCCAGCCCCGCCCCCTGCCAGCCTCTGCTCTCTACGTTGCCCTAGGCCACTTTGAGGACAAGCACCATCATTCTGTTCCCTTCCTCATTGACAGAGTCTGGTGGCCTCAGAACAGGAGGCCTCGGCCCAGATGGCAGAGACTTGGGCAGGGCTAGGGGCCCCTGGGGCAGGGATGGAGGACTGCAGGATAGGGAGGAAGCGTGCCCACCTGGGTGGACCCCACAGGGCCATGTGCAGCAGACCCTGACCCATGCCTCCCTCCACCCCTAGGAGCTCATTGGTGAAACCGCAGGGAAACTACACACAGGACGAAGTCGGAACGACCAGGTGCTGCCAACCCCTCCACCCACCACCCTGTACTTCCCAACGTTGGGGAGCTCAGACAGCAGAGTTGGGGCTCCACAGCTGTCTTGGCTCTTCAGGGAAGCCACACATCTGTCTCCCTGAGTGCCACCTCCTCCTCTCCACAGGTGGTCACAGACCTCAGGCTGTGGATGCGGCAGAACTGCTCAACACTCTCTGCCCTCCTCCGGGAGCTCATCAGGACCATGGTGGACCGGGCAGAGGCGTGAGTCCCATGGGGACACCCAGGTGGCAGAGGGGCACGAGGGCAGCCAGTTCTCCTTTCCCCTGAGACTGGCAGCTTGAATACCACACCTAGGTGGCAGGGGCGGAGAGGGTAGGGGAGCCAGGCCCTGGGGTACAGAATGTCTGGACTGAGGGAGGCAGAGCAGCCAGGAGTGGGGTGTTTCTTGCAGTGTCCCTTATCCCCATACCAGCCTAGCACAGCAGGCGGGGCAAGCTCACCCTTTGAGAATTCACGAGCAGGACAGATGCCCTGAAGCCTGAGGAAGGGGCTGGCAGTGCCTGGAGCAGACAGAGCCACTCCTTAGCCTGCTTGCCCCCTTGTCCCCATTTCCACCCAGCATGACAGGCAAAGGACAGAGCCAAAGGCAGCCTCTCACCAGCCCCATCCCAAGCTTTGGCTTCTGTGCTCTGACTACTGAAAAGTCCCTATTTGTTGTCAGGGACAGGGTTGACCCCTCCTTTTCTCCAACTCGCTGTGACGTCTGTTTCACAGACCTCACCACCTGGGAGCAAACAGGGCACAAGCACCATCAGTCACCCTGTGGGGGCTGGCAGGAATAAGGAGTGGCTGCTGATGAGCACAGGGCTTCTCTTTCGGGGTAGCGAAATGTCCTAAAATTGATGTGGTGACAGTTGTACACTCAAGTGTACACTTGAAATGGTGAATTGTATGTGAGTCATACCTCAGTGATGTTTACTAAAAAAACAAACCAAACCACCACCCACAGCACTTCTGCCTCTGCCCCGCCTACCCTGAAGTGCCCCCAGCTCTTCTGGGCTCCTTGGGAGCTTCTCTCATGCTCACAGACATGGCTCCCACTGCCAGGTGGTACCCGCCATGAGCCTCCTCCCTGCCCCGGTCCCTGCTCACATGTGCTGGGAGTTGCGGAGACGCTAGCTGAGGGTGTAATTCATGCTTGGCCTTGGCCAAGCCTTGTAACCTGGCCCCACAGCCCTGGCTCAGTCCTTCTTCTGGCCTCTATCAAACTTCTGGTCTCTTCCCTTACAACTTGTTTGTCCCCAGGAGATCTCTCAGTCCCTCCTGCAGGCAGATCCTTGGTAGGCCTGCCTTGCTATTCCCTGGAAGGGCCCAGGCCTGCAGGGTTTGGGTGTCACAGGCAGGCCTCACCAGAGCCTCCGGAGCCCCTCAGGCACCTTGCCCCTACCCTTCCCCCACAGGGAACGTGACATCCTCTTCCCAGGGTACACACACCTGCAAAGGGCTCAACCCATCCGCTGGAGCCATTGGATCCTGAGGTGAGTGAGACCAGGATGGAGGGGCTGTGATGGATGGGAGGGCCCCGGGCTTCCCTGACTATCCTGTCCCCTGGCCCCCACAGCCATGCAGTGGCACTGACCAGAGACTCTGAGAGGCTGCTAGAGGTGCAGAAGCGGATCAATGTTCTGCCCCTAGGGAGGTGAGTGAGGTCCCAATGCTCCAATGGTGGGGGCGGAGTTGCTGCCACATAGTTAGCATGGCCCTTGGGGATTGACACAAGAGGAGGAACCATCAAGGACAGAGGGGACTGGCCTTCCCAACCAGGGTTCTTTCCACATGGGATCCTGCATGGACCCCCAGTTCTCTCTTAAGATGTGGACAACTGAGCTAGCAAGTGTGTCAGGGCAAGGCCAGAGCTCTCCAGAGAAGCCCCAGAGAGCCAACCACTTATCCACAGCCTGCCAAGTTCCCTGCATGGGGACAAGTGTCGGGCACCAAGATGACTGGCCATAGCCCTGGCAACCAGGGCTCAGCTCTGGGTGTGCAGGTGTGTATGTGCCAGGGCCTGCTTGTCAGGGGCCCTGGTCACTCAGAATCCCCTGTCCCTGCAGTGGGGCCATTGCAGGCAATCCTCTGGGTGTGGACCGGGAGCTGCTCCGAACAGGTAAGCCCCGCTCCCCACCCTAGGGAGATCACCATCAGCTTTTACCGGGGTCTTACAAAGAGAGGGCAGAGGTCTGGGTGAAACCTTTGTTTATTACCTGTAGACACTGAAGTTAGAGAGGCAAGGCAAGGCCTGTGGCGGGGGTGCGTGGCTCCGGCATACTCGGGGTTTCCGCTTCCTTCCTGGGACCTGTGCAAAAGACCTTCCCCCCCCCCGCCC